AGTGCCCAAAACCTGGCCCCGCCCCCGCTCATCCCTCCTGCCCCGCCCCTGCTCTGCCCCCCCATCCCCTGCCCCGCCTGCCCACAGGACCATCACTGCCTCCAGGGCCCGCTGTAGATCACCCAGGCAGCCCAGCAGCGCTATAGCGGCCACACCCTCTGCCCGCGCCTTGCAGCATCAACTGCATGATGTGGTGTGAGGGCAGAGTCTTGTCTACGCTGCCTGGCTGCCATGTCCTTGGCTGCGCTGCTCCATGTGGGCCACGCTCGGGGGCGACTCTCCTTCAGGGGGGCTGCTGGAGAGGAGGGGGTCACGGGGGGAGGCAAGGCTGGGGCAACGGCACGTGTGCCCACAGAGAGGGCTCCGAGTGCCACCTCTGGCACCCGTGCCATAGGTTCACCACCACTGGACTAGGGCCTAGTTCAGGGATAGGCAATGTTGGCTCTTTTATGACTCGTGGACTTCAACTCCCAGAATTCCTGAGCCAACCATGCTGGCTCAGGAATTCTGGGAGTTGAAGTCCACGAGTCATAAAAGAGCCAACATTGCCTACCCCTGGTCTAGTTCATAACCTGGATATATTTATTGTGGCTTTATTTTACAATTAATACCCTGTGGTACACGTTTCATTGCTGTAGTTGATTAATACAGAGGGGCAGAGAACAAGGTCTTTTTTTCAAATGAAAATTTACCTTATTTTTATACTCCACATGGGCAAAGCCTAACCATGCTGGGAATAGAACATTCTGAGCGAGGACGTTTCATTCTTCTCCTGAATCACCAGATCTGATAGTGGAATGGCAATTTAATCCTCTGAACTTACATGAACCGAAACTTAGTTCTTTGCTAGAAACTCTGATTTCTCTTCATTTATATAGAAGTCTCCCATCAAAAAAGGTTTTTTTTCCCCCAGCATCGCCCCTTGGTCTTGCCAAAGGTGGTTCAACAGCAACAAGGGTTCCGAATCTCATTATCTCATAATAGTAATACAATCCACTTCCTCATAAGCAAGAATTAAAAGCCTCTTCAGCATTTCTCTCTCGTTACTTGCTTTGTGCCAAGGTACCCTGGGAAACTGGGAAGGATACACTGTGTTAAGTCTCACAGTGCGGAGAAACAACTCTTTGTTATTTCAACACAGTTTGATCTCCCCCTCACCCTCTGTTCCATTTTTCGCGAAGGTTGCCAAGATTTTTTCAGCCCGTGCATGACTCTAACGAAGCCATGGAATGCTTCAGAGAATCTAAAGGCACCAAATGTTTGTTTAGCAGTTGGAAACAATTGGCCCACTGTGGCGAATGTGAACATCTGCTCACCTCCTGCAGCCTAGACCGTCCCCAGTTCTTCCAAAATGTCAGCTTCCATCTTTCCAAGCATCCATACATGTTTCCCCTGCAATTTGCAATGTGCAGTTTGTAGTGTTTGCGTGTTTCTCCTGCAGTTTGCAACTCTCTCTGTGTGTAAGAGAGTTGCTTTACATTGTCATCCTAATTCCTTCACCTATGACATGAAGTTTGCTTGGACTTGGGTTAAAGCAAGCACAACTACACAATCCCTACATAAGGGAGATATTCCTAGGTTTGGGGAAAAAATCCCTGTGGTTTATGGAGATACAAGTAATAATAATAGTTGTTATTCTTATTAAACAAATAATTATTATTCTAATTAATGACGGTTAGTTTAGCTTAAGCTCAGAAACTCGTGTAACCCTGGCAACATCATAAGAAATACACTTTTATTTTTTAGTTTAATGGAGTGAGAAAATGGACTGGCTGAAAAAGAGGAATTGTGAAGGAAAAAAAGACCCCACTGTTTTTATAGAAGATAAATAAAATGACTCTTGGAACAGAACTCAAAATGGTCCATAATTTTCAGTGGAGAAAGTCATGATTTTAATCGAGTTGGAATTTTTCACACGAGTTTCTATGCTCCTCAAAATCCTTCACTCACTTTTCAGAGTATGCACGACACTAGTGAAAAATCTTTCTTCCTTTCTGGTCCAAATCTCTTAATCTTCAGCTACCTCCAATGTTCTGAGTGTGAGAGAAATGTAATCTTTCTGCATTTTGCCCATAACATTGCAGGTTTTTATTTATTTATTTACTTAAAAGATTTGTATAGTGTTTCCTAGTTTAAAATATATATATAGATTCTCATCATTCTCACTATCTCCGCCTTGCCTCCCCGACCATGCATAATGCATAAACAGAGCAAATGGATTAAGATAAATCTAATCTGTTTACCTGTTTTGCTTTTTGCAGAAGATTTTTTTTTTAGCCTGCCTTTCTCCCCCTAATAATCTCAGTAGATTAAATCACTAGACTGTTTGAAAAGGAAAATTGGATTTATTTTGTTCAAAGTGTAAGTTCCACTGTAAAAACACCTGTGTTGCATCACCCATGAGGTGGGAGTGTCTTTTCCAAAAGTATGCCCGTAGGGTCATCTACGTATAAAATCAACTTCTTTTTCCTTTAAAGAAAGCTTGTTTTAATTTACTTCATTTTTTCCTGCCCTCTAGTGGCTATTTATGCTGGAATTCAAATGCTCCATTTGCCCAAGAGAAGGGTTTCTCAACTTTGGCCACTTAAAAAATGGGTGGACTTCAACGCCATGCAAGCTGGGAATCCTGAGAGCTGAGATCCACCCGTTTTCAAGTTGCCAAGGTTAAGAAATGAGGGTTTCATATTGGTTGCATACACGCAAAATACTTAGATGGAGTTAGCATCTTTGGCTAGCAACTGTAGGAGAAGCACAGGCAGTGGTGGGGTGGTGGTGGTGAGATGAGGGTGGAATTAAACAAGTCATCAGCCGTGAATCATTATGTGTCCACAAATACTCCAGGCCCATCCCTCTCTTGACCTTTATTTGATGCCAATTTAGTGCTGAGTCAACTAGATTCTTGTGTATAGGCTTGGACAATATATCTTCTGAACCACAATGTATTGTGTGGTCCTGATTCTTTGAGCCTAATGGAAACCTTAAGAATGCTACGGTACGGTATGC